TGGGCATTTGATGCTACAGATCTCCACGTACTGCCTATCTTGATAGGTCAGCAGTGCCTTCTGATTTCTGCTCTCATTTTCTCTCTGACCCCTGAAGTGTATTATCTGTATTATCAGTCTTCCAGCTGTCTTTCTGTTTTTGATATCTAATTTCAATTTCGTCTGAGAACATGCTTGTATCTTTGACTTGTCTCTTTTAAATTTACTGAGACTTGTTTTATGGCCCCAGAGCTGGGCCATCTCGTCAGGTTTTCCGTGTGCACTTTCGAAACCACGTGAGGAACGAGCGTTGTGTTGGTGATGGTGCCCTGTCAGCGCTGTTGTGGTCCAGTCCTTTCTAAGTTTCCATCTGTTTGCTCTAGCAGTTACTAAGAACAGAGTCGGAATTTCCAACTATAATTGTAGATTTGTCCATTTCTCCTCACATTTTCATTAATTTTTGCCTCACAAATGAAGCGCTGTTACCAGATGCAGAAACGGGTCAGTTGTGTCTCTTTATCGTTATGAAATGCCCTTCTTTATCCCTGATGATATTCCTTCTTTAAACTTTGTCTGATACTAATGTAACTGTCACAGCTTTCCTTTGAGTAGTATTTCCATAATTTATCTTTTTCCATCTTTTACCTTTAACCTATTTGTATTTTTTTTTTCAAGATTTTATTTGTTTATTTGAGAGAGAGAGAGATTGTGAGAAAGAGAGCGGAAGTGGGAGGAGGGTCAGAGGGAGAAGCGGGCTCCCTGCTGAGCGGGGAGCCTGATGCAGGACTTGATCTCAGGACCCTGGGATCATGACCTGAGCTGAAGGCAGACTCTCACTTGATTGAAGTCCATCTAACCTATTTGTATTTTTATACTTTAAGTGGGTTCCCTGTAGGCAGCATGTAGTGGGCATGTAATGCTTGGGGAAGATTTGTTTTACGGTTTAGAGTGCATGACCTCCTCTCTCCAAGCCATGTTCAGTGCTACCTCTAGGACTGTGCTCTTTCCCCATCTTCATTCCCGTTCCTGTGGGCCAGGAACTTCCTCAAGGTCACTTGCTAAGATGGTGATCTGAGATTCAGACCCAGAGCCGAGCCCGGGACCCTGGCAGCATTGGCTCTCGTGCCTGTGCTCTTGGGCATTCTGCTATCCTGCAAACCAACAGCTGGCTAGATGTTTCTGGAAAGGCCTCTCTGGTTTCCCCTGAAGACCCAGGGTGTGGAGTCAGTTGAAGCCAGAGAAACCAAGCTGAACGGTGGAATCAGTGGCTCACCTGAGATCGTGAAGGAAACCCTCCATCCCCACCATCCCCTGGGGTTCTCCCCCCACCCCCAAACCCGCCAGGACACTGGGCAGCTGTCCCTGTGGCATGTGAGCAGCTTTTCAAGCCCCGTGCCTCTGTGCTCCAGGTGTCGTCCTCCTTGCTAGTTGAGAAAGAGTTGGTCTGCGTAGAACATGGTGAGGTCTGATGAGAGGATTGTGAAATGAGGGGCGCGTTGTTTCCTGGAAACTTCAAGTTCCTCTGGCATTGGGTAGGCTGGTACGGGAGCAGTCAGGAAGAGCCCATGATGCAGCGCCTACCGGCTGTTAGGGGCCGGGTGGTGTCATCGTGTTCCCCCTCCCCAAGAAGAAAGGCTGGAGTCCTAGCCCCCAGGACCTCAGCATGTGACCTTATTTGGACATAGGTTTGTCGCAGATGTCATCAGTTAGGATGAAGTCCTGCTGGGGGGTTGAGCCCCTGATCCAACACGGCCGGTGCTCGCAGAAGAACATGGCCGTGTGAAGGCGGAGACACAGGGAGAAGCTGCGTGGTGGCAAAGGCGGTGTGCCAAGCAGTGTCAAAGATTGCCAGCAACCACCAGAAGCTGGGAAGAGGCAGGCAGGGTTTCCCTCGAGGTTTCCGAGGGTGGATGACCTTGCTGATACGTTGATCGAAGACTTAGGAAACCTGGGTGCCTCCAGAACTGTGAACAGTCAGTTTCTACTGTTCTAAGCCCCTGGGTCTGGGTGTGGTGCTCTAGCAGCACTAGGAAGGGAGCCCACTTCACGTAAGCCCTGTCCTGTGACAAAGCTCACTTTCACAATACGAGCTCGCTCACGGGCTGGCAGTTGAGGGGAGAAGGTGTGTGTGGTGCATGAGTTGAGCCAGGCCAGACTTGATTTTTCCAGCACATGGATGCTTTCTGTTATCAGGGAGCAGGGCTTGCACGTGGAGAGATGTCACGCTGAGCGTGGTAATCCACGGAGCAGCGGTGTGCTCGCTCCCGTTCCCACCTCGGCTCTGCCTCCTGCCCATTTTGGCCATGTGCCCTGGCTCACGGTTTTCTCCAGTGTCTAACATCTTGTCCCCGATTCCATGGCTCTGAGACTTCCGTTCTTGCTTTTGTTCTCCCTCATAAAAGTGTTGCCACGGTAAGATCCTACGTTTGCAGGACTTTGTATTTATTAGGAATTTTGCACGTCTTTTTTTTTTTTTTAAACGAACACTGTGGTCGTGTTTTTATGAGTGTTGTTATTGATTCCTGTGGTGTCCCAGTTATTAAATTGCAGTTTTGAACAGTCCACTCCAACCTCGTATTTTTTCAGACGCCCTGGCATTTTTAGGGTAGTGTCGCAGAATGTGAGATTCCTCCAGAATACGTCTGTTGTAGCATAGCAGAAGCTCCTGTCCTCTGTTTCATCTGCAATTGGGAAGAGTGTCCGTCTCAGTCTGGCAAGACTGCATGGGGTCAGAGCCTGCTGGGCACTGGGCTGGGGACCAGGGGTGTAGCTGTGAGCAGCAGACTTTGGCCGACATTACAGTGGACACAGGATGGGGAAGGAGCAGGTACACATGGCTTTTTGGCAAAACCCAGGTCTGGACTGGAGCTATTCTGATGTAAGGATGAATGAACAGAAAGTCCCCCTATGGGGTCTCTTAGAATGTGGTGAAAAGGGAAATACCCAGAAATGCAAAAGACGAATATACCTCTGAAAGCAGTCTACAGTCAGAGGCAGAAAAAAGAGATTTCAAAAGACTTTAGCAGGGAGAAGATGTGGCTCCATGGACGGTGAGGAAGAGGGGGTGCGCTGAGCGGAAGAGATAGAGGAAGGGGTTGTGAAGGGAACTGGTTGAAAATGGGGAGTCTGAGGTTAAAATCTATTTCAGAGGCCGTAAGGAATCAGACTGATACCGTGGAAAATAGCAGCCGTGCTGTGGAGAACATACTTGAGAAGATGCCCAGGAACGCAGAGTAAACAGCAGGTGTGCCAGTGGTGGGAGAGGCTAGAGCCGAGGGTGATACCAGCCAGTTAGGAGAGGGGTCTCTGAGGAAGCCAACACAAGTTTCCCCGAAATAGGAATCCAAATCCAGTTGAAGAGCTTTCTTCTGAGCAGAAAAGAGACCTGTGTGTATTGAAAGGTTCATGTTTGGAGCAAAATCAATGAAAAGAGGTTCTTACATCTTCTGACAACACTTCCGAATTTCAACATGAAAGAAGAACATTCTTGCAGAATCCAGATAGAAGGAAATGGCAGCAGCAGCAGCATCCAAGCTCAGTCCCCAGAAGTCCCTGAGGAAGGAGATGGACGTGGGGTTTCTGCAGGGCCAAGGGTGGGGCCAGGTCTAAAGGTTTCAAGGGAGAAGAAGGGTTTGTGTTCTCAGAATTTTATACCCAGCCACGCTGGGACCTTTGTATGAAGGGTGCTGAGCCGTCAGAGATTTGCAGGAGAAACCATTTACATTGTTTTCAAGACAGAGGTGTTTCCTTCTGGCCAAGAGATGAATGAAAAGTCTGAACCTGAGGTAAAGGTCACTGTGTGTCCTAGGGAAACAACCAGATACAGAACAGCAGTTGTGAGGATATTGATCACAGAGTTATGGAAACGTGGTATGGAAACCACTGAAATGTCTAGCCTTCGGGCGGTGGTCATTTTCATGATGGACTGGTTAGGGTTCTCTGAGTATAAGCAATGGGCAAAGAAAGGATTGTGAATAATTTAATCAAGAACAGGAATCTGTCACATCATTCGAGGAGGAGGTGACAGAGGCCTCAGAGGAGCCTCGGACCAGGGTCAGTAGGAGGCTTTCCGTAGTTACCACAGTCGCAGTTTGTTTCCACTTTCTGATGGTCAGAGATCACAGGCGAGTGTGTAAGAATTCACCCATGATGCCTCCACACGGAGGCAACACTTGCTGCTGGGTGTTCTCGTGCTTGTCTCCAGGTGGTGGTGCTCCATAGAGGAGACAGGCCTTGGGGAGAGGGTTTGGTGAACTTGGCGGCACGCGTCCCATACCTGGTCCTGAGGACAGTGCCACCTGAGGCGGTCAGGGGCAGCTCCTTGGAGGGAGGGAGATGGCCATCCTCTGTCATGGATGGAGTAGGGAGCAGCCTTGGTCACGGTGTGACCGGGAGTTGTGAGTGACTTGGGGACATTTCTGGCTGTAACAGCAGCGCAGAGAAGAGGACACACAGCTGTAGAGCGGGCAGAGGGCAGAGAAAAACATCAGCGAGACAGGTCTGAGCCTTACTGAGTGTTGGCCTCTGGTGCCAGCATCGTGGTTGACTTGAAACACTTAGCTATGATGAGCACAGATTACTTTTATAGTCAGAAACTGGAGTTAAAAGGGGAGGGCGGTAATTATGAAGATGGAAACACAGGGGTGGGGGGATGGGGAGGGGCGTGCACACAGTGCAGCAGCTCGTGCAGAAGCCAAGTGTGGCCTGTGGGACCGCAGCCCCACGCAGTATAGATGTGTGGGCGAGGGTCCCGGCCGCGTGTGGTAGGGGTGGGCTGGGGCTCCCTGTTGGTGGTGCTGGTGCCAAGGCTGAGAACCGCTGCTCTGTGACGTGTCTTCACACCTGTTAATGAACAAAACCCCCACGTGGTTTGTGTCAGCAGAACGGATTCCACCCGGGACGGCTTTTCCGCCCGCAATGCATCAACGTGAACACCCACGTTGTTTCCCTAGTTAGATGCTGCTGTCCACGAGAGTCCTCACCCCCTCACTGACCCTGCTCTTCCTTCTCTAACCACGCAGGTCACCCCCCGAGAGCCCACGGAAGAGCCCTGCCTGCCTCGTGGATGATTTGGCCTGTGAGACGTGTTCAGCACGACGGGGAGTTTTTGCGGCTGTGCGCCAACACTCGCTGCGGCTGTACTTGTATGTGTCCGTGCAACGTGGGGGCTCTTTGGAGCTGTCGTTTACGTGGAAGTTGTGAGCCGTTTTGAACTGCTTGAAGGAGTAGACGCTAGCAATGAGCTCCCAAAGCCGTCCAGGTAAGGTGACCCCCGTCCTTCTCTTTTGGATGGCCGGGCTTTCCCTTTAGGAGATGAGATCGTGTGACTGCACTGGCCCGCAGCATGGCTGCAGTCAGTGTGTGCCCGCCCGGTGCAGAGCAGATCGTGGGCTCTTCGTCTCAGGGGTTCAGGGTCGTGTCTTTGGCTCTGATCTGCACGTATACAGATGGCATGTGGTTTCCATTGATGTTAGGAGAGGAGACTTGTATTTAGCAAGGTGATGTTTAGGTTCATCTCTGATTTGTTGAGTTAATTTCTTGTTTTTGAGGGGACTTTGCGGGGTGGGAGTGCTGCTGTGATGGGGCCCCTGGGCTTAGTCTGGGAGGCAGCACCCGGTCTACACCTGCCTCGGTGGCCCCAGGACTCGCTTCTCAGGTCACGCTTTGTAGAGGCACGGCAGAGGTCCTGGCACGCACGTAGTCTTCCTAGTGCCCTGAGAATCTCAGACCTGGAGGGAAGAAGTGACGTGTCTCAGGTTACAGAGCTAAGTGGCCAGATGGATTAGCAACCACGTTTATGGGGCTCTTAGCTTTAGAAGGGTGTCACAGGCACCTACATTCATCCTCTTGCAGAACCACAGTGCGGATACCTGGTTAAAGCCTGGCGCACTGCCTTGACCTGTCCAACAGGACCGGCCTCCCGCAGAGCCAGCACTGTCCACCCAGCTGCAGCCTCTTCCAGGGCAACGTGGGCTCGAAGGGCACTTGGATAGCGGGTCTGTCCTACATCCACGCAGTGGGGGGAGGCAGGGGCTCACCCAGTCAGAGTCGGCGCGTCCCTGTGGCACCCATGTCTCTGAGCGAGCCTCGGGCCTGGCCTGGTGGTGTGGAGCCAGAGGTTTAGGGTCTGGGTCTCTCCCTTTGGGATTGCTCCAGAACATTCTCACGCCTTCCTTTGGCTTTGATCAGAGTTGTCAGAAGCTCCAGAGAGCAGGATTCCCAGTTATATTTAGATATGAAAGCTTTATTGATGTAAATCGTTTGTGTATTGATTGATACAAAGCATAAAACAGAGTTAAGCTGTCTGGATCGAAGTGTGTAAAAGAGACACCGGGTGGTGCCCAGCTCTCCCTTCGGCTCAGAGCGCGCTGCTGCGGTCTTGAGGGTGTGCTTGTTCCTGTGGGTGAACACAGAGGGGCATGTGTGCAAACACTCGAATAGAGTGGGGTCATTCCTTATGTGGGGTTCTGTGTTCTCCTTTTTTCCCATTGTAATGTATCGTGAGCATCTTTTGATGTCTGCACATACACAAGCGTCACTTACTTTCGATAGCTTGTCCATGGGTGCTTGTGTGGTTAGGATAGCAGACCCAAATCGGCATCCCACAGTTACTGCACGTGTGTTTGTCTGTACGCTTCTGCACGTATCTCCATGGGCCCAATTCCAGGAAGTAGAATTGCTAGGTTGGAGGACGTGAAGGTCAGGTCCGCTCTCCTGTTACTCCAGAAACAGTCTCAGCTTACCTTCTTAGTTAAGGTTCACGAGCACCCAGAATTTTCTCCATTTGCCCCAGTGCTGGGGTAGATGCAGTCCATTTCATTGTTGTCAGTATGCGAGAGAAAAACGATTGTTTGAATTTATGTAACTATGCACACGGGGTGCACGTTTTTGTACAGATAGTCAAATCTAGTCCATGCCGCCCACGCGTTTGGAGAGAAAGAATGCTCTTTTGTTCCTGTTTCCGTGTCTCAGGAGATCTGTATGTGCACACAGTTTCCTTGTTCACACATACCGTGTACTTACACCCATGTCTTCTTCTCTGTGTTGTTTACACACTAACTTCACTGACTCATGGAAGTCAGTGTAGCTTTACTCTGTTTTGTGCTCAATTTCTACAAAAATGTGCAATATTTTTTCATGTTACTGACCATTTTCTGCTTTGTATGTTTCAGTGTGTTTTTCTGCACCTAAAGATTGATGACCATATCTCTTGGTAGCTCAGTCCTCTGACTAAAATACACACTATTTTTCTTCCCTTAATGTTTTTTGCCCCAAAGTTTATTATGTCTTTTAAAAGCCTGTCCTTGGTTTCTTTAGCTCATCAGCCTGTCTCCACACACTCACCTTAACCTTCCAGGTTGTTCTCCTGAGAGCCTTGGCCTCTTATATAGGGAGTTTGCCCACTGATGGTTATTGGAGTCATGGTCCTGTCTGACCATGTGTTGTTCCCCCCACACTGACCCCCTGACCCCTCGCCGTCAGTGTCCCTGTCCCTCTCAGTGGGTGGGGGTCTCCGGAGAGTGGGAGCTGGCCCAGGGCTGCCGCTGCCCTTCAGGCCAGAGCCTCGTCCCTCCTGGGTCAGTGTGGACGTGTGCCGTGGTATGTGGTGGGCCTGAAGCCCCCGGGCGTTCCCTCTTCTCCTAGCCCACGGGTCTTCTCAGGGACCCGCCCTCCCCCCAGCGCAGCCCTGCACACATGGGCACACCAGTGGCCCTGTGGTGGGCTGTGAGTTGGGCCACGACGTGGCTGCCCTTCCTTCCTGAGGCTGTGGCCCGCCCGGGTGAGGTTCTGCTCCTAGCGCTTGGCTTCCCGTCATGTCGATCCTCTGGGATTTGTATTTTCTAGGAGGTTCCCCTGAGTTTCTGTCTGTTGACACTGCCATCTTCCCATTGTCTAGCTTTACCATACATCCGTTTGAATTTATATTTATGTCATTTTTCGTGGCCTTCTGGGAAGAAGGGAAATACTAGTTGTTCGGTTTGCTCTTTGGAATGGGAAACTTGTAGGTGTCCTTCATCACTTTTCTTGAGCCTGAGGGGACGAGTTCTGTCTGTGCGCCCGCACGGCTCACTTGTGCCCTTTCCAGTGTCCCTGGCTGGGTGCCTGCCTTCCCCCGTCCCCCGGCTGTCCCTGCTCTGCCGTGTTCCTGTGTGACCGTGTGGCGTGCCCCCCCAGGCTGGGAAGAGCCCAGCCCCATGTGGTCCCTCCTCTCACATTTGGCTGTGTCTGTTGGCTTTGCCCTGATGATAAAATGACGTTTTTGTTTGATATGTATAATTTTTCTCTTCCCTGTTTTTCTTTAAAACTCCCGCTGGTGTTGAGTGAGGTATGCGGTATGATTTTATTGCTGTGCTTTCTGAACTTTGCCAGAGCCAGGCCCTGGTTCTCTGACGTAAAACTGTTAGCTGTTGGGGTTTTATGGCTCTGAGTAACTATTCCTAATGATGAGCAGCCTGGGGAAAGGCCTGGGCGATCCAGCGTGCTAGAACTCCTCTTTGATAGCAAGAAGATTGAGAGCAGGTACTGAAAACATTAGGCTTCTTGCTTAACGCAGTGCTCTACACCTCTCCCCGCCAGGGATGTGCCCAAACAGGTCAGGATGGCCTGATTGGGACATAGGGTGTCTGCTCCGGAGGTGAGTCCCCGGCGCAGGACTAATGGAGGCTGGACGCGTATGTGGACCTCCTAGCAGGACAAGCAAAGGCTCCCTTCTTCCTCCGCCCTCCTTGTAAATCCCAGGGAGCCCACAGTGGGGTCTCGAGGACTCGTGTGTGGTCTCCCAAACCGTGCTCTTGCTAGAAAACCGGTTGAGCCGGCCTGCAGTGGAGTCACTCGAGTGTCCTGTCTCTCCCTGTATCTTTCTTTGTGAGGGTGTATGGTATGGGCTTAAAAGCAGGAGAACTATTTTGAGGAAAACTTTGTGTATTTAAGATCAGTGTTTTAATTTGGACCATTCTTTGATTTCTTAATATTTTGTTCAGTGTGAAATACCCCATCCACATAAAAGCAGCTGGGAAGACTGTGTTAACAATAACTTAGTGTTTAGTGAGTTTCGACATAGTCTGATTTCTTCAAACTGTCGTCATATTTGAATCTGAACGTCTCCCGGGACAAGGCCATGCCTCTGGCTGGTCTGAGCTGGGGCTCTGGACTTCCTTCCTCTGTGCACTCTGCTGTCCCTCTGAACTTGAGTCTGTTTGTTTCAGCCAGTTTGGCTGCCAAGGCTCTTAGGTTTTAATATAGAAATTATCTCAGAAAGGAACATTTGTATGTCATTGAAATTATGCTTTGCCATGATTGAATGTCTCAGGAATATTCCAGAGTTTTAAGGGTAGGAAATGCATTTTGAGGACATGTCATCAACACAGGGAAGACATTGGTTTGGAGCCGCTGGTGACAGGTGGGCCGTGGACCCTGAGCAAGGGCCTGGGCCTCAAGCGGCAGATGGAGAGCTGGGGAGCTGGGAGTGGCCTTGCATGAGGCCTGGAGGAGGGGTGCTGGGAGTCCCACAGCTTAGGTGAAGGGGGCACAGCCTCAGTTTTTGGCTGCCAGAGGACGGGAGCAGCCGGTGACAGCTGGAGGAGAGTGCTTCAGGACCTTCTGGAAAAGTGTGAGGGAGCCCCCAGTGGCTGATGAACTCGGGGGGAGTTCTGGGCAGAGGCAGCAAGACTGAGCCCTGAGGACACGGGCTGGGGGGCATGGGGGGAGTCAGACCCGTTCCTGATGTGCAGCCAAATGCAGATATTTCAGGGCGGGCGGCAGGAATTGCCTCACTGGTCCCAGCCAAGGTTCAGATGGGGGACACCGCGCATCTTGCACTGGCCTGCCTTCTACAGGAAAGCTTTCCAGTGACCCTTGTGCGGCTCCCGTCTGCAGTGGTGGTCTGCCAGGCGTTCTTGGAGCACCCCACACAAGAACATTCGCAGCTCCCGAACTGCCACCATCCCCGGCCCCCCATGCTATCATTATCTGGGATCTCAATCAGTCAAGGTTTGTTCTGGAAATGATGGAGACATAACGACTTCTTTTTCAACCCACTTTTTTTTTCCTCTTTTTTTTTAATCCTCAAATTGTGTTTTGTCTTTTAAAAATCACGAATACTCAGTCGTTATGAAGAGCTCAGAAAATTCACTGTCAATGGAGCATTGATGGTTTGTTTTGGCAATTCGCTGAAAATTCTTATACAGTATGTGGAACATTTGCATTTATGTCCTTTTTTTCAAAGCCACCATTGTAGAAATGCAAATTTCGGAGTTCTGA